CGGTCATATGCATGTCATTTGGCATCATTTTTAAAGCACAACCTAATGGATATATCAAAAGTTGCTTGAAGAGATGAACAAAAAAAATTCCCATTTGATACGGACTTTATGTGTGACGACACTGTATAGTAAAACGAAAAAATTGCTGTGAGAAATGTTATCTGATTTCCTTTTCAATGTCAAAGATGAGGTGGACAAGTTGGAGAAATCTGGAGTTTATAAGCTTAAGTGTCCCGAGTGTAATAGTGTTTATGTGAAACAATGTGGTCGAAATTTCCAAAAACGGTATGCTGAACATGAAAGGTCCTTTGGACTAGGAAAAAGTGATTCGACGTTTTCAAACCATTCCTTAGCATGCAACCACAAGTTCCCGAATCTAAACGATACGGAAATTTTGCTCTATACAAGGAAGGGTTACAAACTCAATTATTTAGAATCATTGGAAATTCACAAGCATAAACATTGCAACCTGTTAAATGATCAAATCAATTTAGTTTACCCACCGGTTTTCAAATTGGCACATCCACATTGTAAACTGTAAATTCAGGTACTCAATCAAGCCAAGTAACTCTATTAGTACCTACAGGGGTGGTATTTAGGGCTAATGTAATGAACCATTGTTAGGTTAATGTATGAGTTTAAAATGTCCTTATAGGACGAAACTGCAGTAACGTTAGTTACAAATAAAAGTGGTAAAAAACATAGAAAGTTTCAATTCTGTTTCCTTCATTATGATTTCCTACCACATATTAACGGCCACATCCATCAATTTATTGTTTTTGTTTCTTGATAGAGATTCAAATGGAAATATTGGGAATTTTAAAGAGAACCAAATTACGCAACTTTGCCCTAAGTTAACTGACCGTGTATCTCTTACGGTTTCCGAGATTCGAATGATCACCTTCGAATTTGGGACATGAACATAAAATATCAATACATAAACAAATACTCACTGCACCACTCATTTCAATACCGATTTCGTCCAACACTTTTGTGATGATGTGATCACTTTCTTCCTCATCCCCTGATTCGGTTAGCATATCATCTAATGTATCATTTACTGAAACAAAAAAAAGTGTCACATATATCAACTTAAAATCAAATACATGCGAGAGATTGGGTATTCTGAAAATCATAATATGTTATTTTGGGAAAGGGATAAAAAAAATTCGTAGATAATCAATTTAGGTAGTCAGTCGGTTCGACGTTGGTGCTTTGTTCACTCGCTCAATTGACCGCCGTGTTGGTCGGTGGTTCAAGCCGCAGGCTGAACGATAGATTTTCATTTGCTATCGTCCAACCCGTGTTAGGAATCACACGTTAGAAGGTAAGACCTCGTTAGTCCTTAGCACGCACAAGTTTCNAAATCAGATATTGTTGATTTCATGCGAAATCATTACATGGAAATACCCGAAAAGATTCCAACGAAAAAGGTATGTATATGTGAACAAATCTATTAAATTGTGATATTTTAATATTGTTGATTGTAAATTTGTCTATCATCACACGGTTTTTTTATTTGTGACGTATTCTATATCATACTATATGTGATCTGTAAGGATTGAATAAAGATTATTATTATCATTATTATTATTATATGCCTCTGCAAGAGACAGATTAAGGCAAAAACCTCAGTCATTTTGGAATTATAATATAGTAGCCAACATCGTCGACGAATTCATTTTGTGACTAGACATCATGTCCCTCTACAGATTCGTGATGTACATAAGGAACAAACTGTTGAAAGTTTGAAATAAGAAAATTATACGCAGTTTGCCTTCTCAGCCTTATGACAGCGCCAAAGTGGTAATACTGGAATGAGGGTGACTCTACCTTCATAACAAGGCAAGATATTACCATAGCGCAAAAGAAGGATCCAATCTTGAAAACTACGAGAATAGATTGACAAAGGAGTGAGGCCGGAATGGCAAGAGATTTTCAAGCCAGGCGAGAACTGAAGCTTCTAATAGGCGTGATGTATGGCAGCCCATCCGATGAATCTCCCCTTTGTTATAGAGTATGTAAATGGCCTGTAGGAGACTGGAAATTGTCCACAAATTTGCCAGATTCAAATCACGGCTTTATAGCGACAGATTGAAGATAAGATTTGATAAAAAGTCGAAGTTGTTGAACTTCAAGGAGGGCGACGCAGTGTGGCTTTACCAACCCTATAGTCGGAAAGATTTGTGTCCAAAATTTCAGAGACCATCACATGGACTTTACTTGGTAACCAAAAATATGAACGATATGGTGCACAGAATACAATTGTCACCCAAAAGCAAGCCCAAAGTTGTCCACATAGAGCAACTGAGTCCTTACACGAGTCGTGTGGGTTGAACAACCTCAGGAAAGGTGGTAGTGCTGTGAATTACCGCCTGAAAAAAATTACGCAGGCCACCGCTGTTTTTTGATACTTCTAGGTGCCGCGTCGCTTCAAAAATATTCCTGTCTGCTTCCGAAGACTTCCATTGGGGATTAGAAGCAATACCTACAGGCCGATGGAGTTAGTCTAGTAGAAAGTGCGGCTCAAAGTGACCTAATAAGGCGATATACATTCAAGTATTTAATCTAAAATCAGCTAGACTTTTTGTGTTGTTTTGGCAGTATAGTTGTGAAATAAAGTCGAGTTTAACTGTACAGCGTATTCAATTATTATCGAACCTGGGTGGAAAACGTAACGACAATGTTTCTATAAAGGACAGATTTCTAGGGTTGATAAGAGTAAAAAAAGACTTCCAAGAACTAATTTGATGCTATCATTTAACTTTTGAAAGACAATAATATGCCCATAGATACAATGCCTGATAATGCATCTGTAATGATGGGAAATGAAACAGGTGTACAATCCAAATTAAGAGAAGTCAACCCGACAGTAATAGTTATTGGTTTCATATGTCCATTCTCCACAACTGTGTGCATCAGCAGCAGCCTTAAAATTACCCAAGTAGGTTGAGGCATGTTATGAATCACTTCTCAAATAGTTGAAAAAAAATTGAAAGTCTCAATGAACATCAAGAATTTATCAATATAAAACTTTTGAAGCTATTGAAAGTAAGCCCAAAGTGATTGTTTCAGGTAATAACTCAGCTCTCGACCTGAAGGTCAACCGGGCAGATATTTTTCTCACGACGAAGATTCATCTAGTCTCTAGTCGATTGCAGATTGACACTGCCACATTCACGTGGCTGACAGGACTTTGAATAGTCATAAGGTAGACAATTATAACCATCATTAATAACATGAGTGATATCTTGTTTTTTACAGGCTGCTATTGACTCTTTCAGTCATGGGATGGACTCCTTACTATATTTCAATGCTGTGTTCACAGAAAATTTGAGAATAACGTTACAAATATTGGAAAACCTGGAAACCCCTATTCATTTGTATTTTCTTCCTTTGTTCTAGGGTTTGTAATTACACTGAACAAAGGGTTTCAAAATGAAACACACAAAGTGACCGACTGACAGAGTTATATAGAACTTTCTTGCACAATTTTATAAAAAAAAATACTAGGTAAATGTTGAAAATCCACATGGTTTTAACAAAATTGAAGCTATGTATTTTAGAGCAAAGGTGGAACAAAATATATAGAAGTCCTTAAGACAGAATTGAACTAGTGAAATTTAGAACCAATGCTCTGAACTTTCACATAGAATTATTCAAAAAAATCAATAAAAACGAATTGAATGATCTTCTGTTGCTATATATTGGAAAAATCCCCAAATAGATTATATACAGTGAACATCTTTCCATAACATTCTTTCTCAATTATTTCCTCATGTGGATGTTTAAAATTTTAATGCTGAGTATCCTTTGATAAGTTCAGTAGCAGAACTTTGAACAATTTTGGAGTTGTGTCATAGAATTGAAAAACAGTTTGGATGAAATGATGTTTCCCAATTTGTTTCGAGTAATTAAGGCAATAATCACAGTTCCTCATTTTTCGGCAACAGCTAAAGAATATTTTCCCAACTGACAGTGATCAAGTCCAAACTTGGTGTAGAGTACGTTTAAATTTTAATTTTTTTGTTAATTATGACATTTATTTTTTATGAATACAGTATTGATGACTTGTATAGTTTACTTTGACTACCAACCTCCCCTAATGATCTCCATCATTATATCAAAGTTTATTTTACCGCCAAATTTTTGTCAAGCTGTTATTTGTCTAAAGTTAAATACTCAAGGCTACTACAGACATTTGAAATACTGCTGTATTAGTTGCACATTTCGTTTTATAAATGCTTAATATCTATTTAATTTTTTTAGTCAAATAAATTAATTTGCAATGTTTCCATCCTGACTAAATGTTTGTGTCTGAAAAAAAAGATGCCAAACTCTGCATATTCCATGTGAAAAGGAATTTCAATTTTATGAATCAGCTAAAAATAATAATAACCGTTCACCAAATTCAATGACTTTTCTAAGGTAGTTTGTGCCTTTTCACAAGATGACACATTAACAGACCCAAGTTTTAGGTCAGCAGGACCCTGTCAATTGTCATGTGTCACCTGCCACTTTTATTATAAATCTATTCCATATTTTCCAATTTCTTTCCCACTTTTTGTCTCTAATCCACTACGATTCTTCCGCAGCAACACTGTGTATATCTTGAAAACAATGAAGAATAATGATACTAAAAATAATGGTTTTTAGGTATAAACTCATTCTCATTTCAAACACACTCGAGTTTTTTTTAATTTTTGCAGAAAAAAAATTTCGTTTGTTATGCCTTGCGGTACATTTCAGATGGCCCATCCTGTGGATAAGTATCTCTGAATTTAATATCTTGATGAGCTTTGTTTCTTTTTGGAAAAAACCATTTCTTTAAATAATTATTTAAATAAAACTGTAGTTATCTGAATGTTAATTACCAAAGGTTATATATAATAACAAATTAGATATATCTTGATTATAATAATAATTCAATCCAATAGTGCTTCCTCATACCATCAATCTTGAATCAACCTCGCTCAACTTCTCAGCTTTGCTAATTGAGCCTCAATATCATCGTCGCTCATTCCCTTTGTTTTAGAATGTTCTCCTACCCTACTAGATTCAGGCATAGGTGCACCAGCAATCTGCAAAAACAAAAAAAATGATACCAATATGAAAAAATATGAGATAACTATGAAGTGTAATGAACTATAGATAATTTACCAGCAGAAATTTTCAACATATACAGAGTATCTCATAAACGATTCCGAAAATTTCTAAATTTCATTTTTTGCTGTATCTTCTTCATCTGCAAATACAGATCTGTATTCCTGCACTAATTTTTTTATCCCTTCCACAGGATGTTCTAAATTAGATTTCTGACTCAACAGTATAAAGCAAACGAGAACTGAGAAAGTAATCAGAAAAAAAATAATCACAAAACTGTAATAACAAATTATCAACACTTATTTATAAAAGATGTTCAAATTGTAAACCTTCTGCTTCGATGCATTTTGCACTAAGCCAACCTAATTTCAATATGGAAAGTTGAATTAACCTGTCAGGAATTGACCTAATTTATCTAATTGAATTGTACCTATATCATATGATTTCTTTTGTTATAAACGATTTTTGGGGTAATCTCATAGAAAATAATCCAGAGTGTTCAGGTCTGGATTTCTAGCAGGCCATTACAGGTACCCGTTTTACTATTCACTTATTTGAGAACATTTCATTTGAATTAGCTGTGACCAATCGACCAAAATGGCGAGGAAGGCCATCTTATTGTCATCATAACTGCCTTATGATATTGAGAAGCTCATCTTCAAATTGATCTGATATGTTGTTCAATACTAGAGCTATATATCTTTCATAAGTTAAACTATCCTCGTATATTAGAGGGCCAATGATTCTGTTGGGCTACATTCCTACCCACACACTAAAAGAAGTTTGACTCTGTGGTCTGACTTCTGCATATTGCTTTTAGATTTTGTACCAGGCATAGTGCTCATTGTGCCTATTGAAGATACCAACAATAAAAAACTACATTCATCGTTCCATATTACTTCAAGTGAAAACTGATCATTTTCATTAATTTTATTAGAAAACTAGTGACAAAATTCCAGTCGATGGCAAAATTAATTGTCAATATTTTACTTACATAATTTCACTAAAAATTATAGAGTTCCGATTTGAACCATAATGAATTCGTAACATATCATGCTTTTCTAAATTTGGAAACGGCATTTTTTTATAGAATTTGGAAATGAAAATCACAACAGCTGATTGACATTTCAATTGAACAATGACATTTTCAATTCGGTCCATAGTCGCCTTTTATTTTAGGTCAGTAACCTGGGCAATGTCGCTTTTGCATGGCCTACTGTTTGAAAAAAAATTAAACAAAATGAAATGAAATCGTTATTTATGACCAAAAACGATTTTCAAATATGGGATTGTGATATATCATTGAATTCGTTCTGGAATGCTCTGTCGAATACAAGGTATTCCATTATATTGGTACATATAAAAAACTAAGCTGATGATGGTTTCTGAAGAATAAAACGTCTGATTCAAAATCTGAGCACTACATATAGTAAAACGAAAAAATTACTGTGAGAAATGTTATCTGATTTCCTTTTCAATGTCAAAGATGAGGTGGACAAGATGCTTAAGTGTCCCGAGTGTAATAGTGTTCAGCATACCAAAAACGGTATGCTGAACATGAAAGATCTTTCAGACTGGGAAAAAATGATTCAACGTTTTCAAACCATTCCTTGGCATGCAACCACAAGTTTCCGAATCTAAACGATACGGAAATTTTGCTCTATGCAAGGAAGGGTTACAAACTCAATTATTTAGATAGCGGACAGCCAATGGTTTTGCGGTTTCTCTCCTTGTTTATTTGTTTTACATAGTTTATGAGATATAATGTTGAATTTTATCCAAATAAACCTTATTATTATTATTATTGGAAATTCACAAGCATAAACATTGCGGGTGCAACCTGGTAAATGATCAATAGTTTACCCACCGGTTTTCAAATTGGCACATCCACATTATAAACTGTAAATTCAGGTACTCAATCAAGCCAAGTACCTCTATTAGTACCTACAGGGGTGGTATTTAAGGGCTAATGTAATGAACTATTGTTAGTTAAAATGTCCTTATAGGATGAAACTGCAGTAACGTTAGTTTCAGATAAAAGTGGTAAAAAACATAGAAAGTTTCAATTCTCTTTCCTTCATTATGACTTCCTACCATGTAGTAACGGCCACCTCCATCAATTTATTGTTTTTGTTTCTTGATAGCGATTCAAATGGAAATATTGGGAATTTTAAAGATTTTAAAACATAATTTTAAAGAGAACCAAATTACGCAACTTTGCCCTAAGTTTACTGACCGTGTATCTCTTACGGTTTCCGAGATTCGAATGGTCACCTTCGAATTTGGGACATGAACATAAAATATCAATACATAAACAAATACTCACTGCACCACTCATTTCAATACCGATTTCGTCCAACACTTTTGTGATGATGTGATCACTTTCTTCCTCATCCCCTGATTCGGTTAGCATATCATCTAATGTATCATTTACTGAAACAAAAAAAAGTGTCACATATATCAACTTAAAATCAAATACATGCGAGAGATTGGGTATTCTGAAAATCATAATATGTTATTTTGGGAAAGGGATAAAAAAAATTCGTAGATAATCAATTTAGGTAGTCAGTCGGTTCGACGTTGGTGCTTTGTTCACTCGCTCAATTGACCGCCGTGTTGGTCGGTGGTTCAAGCCGCAGGCTGAACGATAGATTTTCATTTGCTATCGTCCAACCCGTGTTAGGAATCACACGTTAAAAGGTAAGACCTCGTTAGTCCTTAGCACGCACAAGTTTCTACTTCTGAGGGTTGTCGTTCGTAGGGGTGCGACAGCTGGTTAACGGAGAAACATATTTTTAAACAACAATTTTGACTTCACTGAATACATATTACAATTTGACCTGATATTCATTTCCATCTTTTGACAAAATTGAAATGAACTTACCAAACAATACTTTATACATGTTAAAAAAATTTGAGAAGGTACAGACAACATGTGTACAAGACCAAACAAACTTAAGATGCTCATTAATAATGAATATTTCATCCAGGAGAGACGACTGATTAGAATTCAACGTTTTTATTTTTCATATTACAGACGATAGAAAAATATTAGAGCACAGAGGGTGGTGAAACCTTTTTGAAACAAAATATTTAAATAATTTAAAATACGCATAATTCAATCTTTCTATGTCTCTTCTGGTATCAACACTTTTTCGTTTTAAAATGTAAATCTGCTCACTAAAGAGCCGTTTAACTTATAAAGGTTGAAAATCTAAAATATTAGACTCTTCAAATATAGTCAGTCGGCATTATTGAAGACTGGCTATAAATTAAATCATCTAAAAGATCAATTCGTTCGGGCCAGTCTCAACTCCCTACACTGTAGGTTAACTCTACTCCCCTGGCTAATACCACATTGGGTGTTGGATTATATCTGACAGGTGTCAGTGCAGAATTCTTCATTGAAGTTATTCCTGCATATGCTGTTGGCGATACAGCTCCTGGTCGATCGGTAGCCGGGCGGTTCAACGTGGGTGCTTTGTTCACTCACTCGAATTGACTGCCGATTTTCACTTGCTATCGTCCAACCCGTGTTAGGAATCACACGTTAAAAGGTAAGACCTAGTTAATCCTTAGCTCGTACAAGCTTCGTCTTCTCAGGGTTGTCGTTCTTAGGGTTGCCACAGCTGGTTAACGGAAAAACAGATTTTAAACAGATTTTTTTAAACATATGATGATCCATGAACCTTTGTGATATTTTAATTTTTTGTTGAGGATTACATTGGTTCTTTGCTCAAAGTAGATTCTTGCTTTGACTCAAGAGTTAAAATATCATTTGTAGCTGTACTATCTTGGTTATTTTTCCTAGATACATTATTTATATTTTGTCGAATACTTGTTTCGGACATATTACCATTCTCTAGAAATGGTCACGTTTTTGATGACCGTAGTAACGATATGATCATATCTTGACGTTTAATTCACAGCTATTCCCTGTACTTTGCTGTTAGCCACATAGGTACGTTGCTTCTGTTTTGGGAATTTCCAACCTGAAATCTTTGACGTCCTCGTTATTCACACCATCTTCAGAAAATTTACAATTTTCGGTGCCTTCCGTAAGTTTTTATACACTGCACTCTCACTGCACCTGGTACTTTATTATATCAACATTTCCAATAAATCAGTATTTTTAAATGATCTAATTCACGGGCTAAAACCGCTTCATTTGCCATGTTGCCATGCTGTAACACTACTATATTACAAATAGTTTGGAGAGATGCCAATGCTCGAATGCTCAAATATTCTTAGGGTCAAGATGAACGACAAGAAATCTTTCAAATTAGAGAAATATTATGCAATTATCACCAATAATTTCGAATAAGCAATATAAAAAATGACTTTCGTATTTATGTTTTTTGAAAAAAAATTAATGGATTATCGTCGAACCTGCCAACACAAATAGTTCATGATAATATAAAAATGCACTTACTCATCTCATCTGTCATTTCCATTTTCATATTTTCCCTAGAAAAGGCATTGACTGTGGCAGCTATATCTTCAGGTTTCATAATCTTGTTCATATCTGACATTGTCCTACCAGCTGTTCCCATAGCTTCTGCGAGTTTAACGTTCGCTCCCATAGCTTTATTTTGAAATGCAATTCCCTGTACTTTGCTGTTAGCTACATAGGTACGTTGCTTCTGTTTGCGCATCTGAACTAACTGTTTGGCTAATAACTTACATCCTTCCCTATTTCCCTCTTTTGCCAATTTTTTTATTTCTAGTTCCTTGAAATAGAAAAACAATAGTTGAGCAGTATTTTACACACAGTGCATTTCTTTAATGTCCCCTCCCCTTTTATTTTTTGAACGTATCAACTCAAGAAAATGAAATTTGGGATAATGAAATTAATGCATGAATACTTTATTTTGAAGTGAAATTGACAAATGAAACTTTTAAGATGGCGACTGGGCGCCATCTGGGAAAAAATTAAATGGAAAGGGGGGTTTTGTGACACATCATTTTGAAGCTCCTGACGAATACCTGACGATTCCAGGACATCGGTTATGGAGGCACATCTTCACCGGCAGCAGGAGGTTACATATCTCAATGAGGATCTAAAAGTGGTTTCGAATTAGGGTGAAAGCAACCAGGTTCAATTCAATGCCACAAAAACCCAGGCATCAGTTTTCTCCAAAAAGATAAATGTCTCCGAACCGGATATAATAATGTCAGGTCAGACAATTCTGCTTTCTGCTTCGATAAGTTTGTTGGGGGTTAAAATGGGCACCAATATGTCTTGGTACGGTCATGCCGTTGTTGCAAAGGTTGCTTCCCAAAAGCTTGGAGCACTGTTCTGAACCAGAAAACTATACACACCTCAGCAACTTTTGATGCTGTATAAAGATCAGTTCAGACCTTCTTTGGAGTATTGTTCTCATGTATGGAGCTCCGCCCATACGAATTTTCTCGATCAAATCAAATCAAATCAAAATATACTTTATTGTCCGAAGATTTGCATCTTATTGACAAAGTCCAAGAAATACAATGTTGATATAAAAAAAGTATCTTCCCACTTTCCTCAATTGTCGATCAACCTCTCTCTGTTCCTCTGAAAATGAATCAAATCGTTACAAAAAATAAAATGTATCAAGTGTCAACTTATCTAGTTTATTATCATGGGTAAGGAATCTCTAAAAAGATGAACAAATTCAATGAATATTGTGCTAATCTAAATGGTATCCGTTTTATAATGTAAAGAGATATACCACTTCTCGTGAGCTTGAAACAAAACAGAAAAAATTTCCCAATCATTCCATCATTGTTATCACGTTGTAACAAATATTTGGATTCATACAGATATATTGGTTGTTTGGCGATGATCAGTTATCCTGGAACCTTTAGTGAAAGTTAAAGTTACTGCGACATCAAAATGTTGAAAACATTTGATATTTACGTTGTGTAATTTCTATATACCCGATAATCAACCTGTTTCTGTAAAAAATTATCATAATGATGTTGAATAACATTGATTTCGTTGTTACTCATCTTCAAGTTCAGTTTTAGATTTGCCTTTTATGTATCCTATATCCAGAGGCGATGTAAGGCGTGAACCATGTGAATATATTTCTTTCTCTGATGAAATATATCATACTATTGAAAGGAATTGCAAATACGGACGTTTGTTCTATTCAAACTGGTCAAAAAAAAATCGCTTAGAAAATTAAATTGACCAACTTATTCAAAAACTTGATGAATCTGTTACCAGAAGGCGCAAAAAAATTTTGAAAAAGAATGGTCTAGATCAAGATCAAGATTTAGATCAAAATCCAGGACTAAATCAAAATTCCAAGATTCGAACTCTAACGATGAACTATGTTACCACAGACGAGACGCTTCTAAAATTAAGCTAGAATATGTATTCAACCTTGTACTTTCGTCAAAATATCTTCGGAAAACCTGTAGGCCAATCGTTAATGACGACTAGCGAAAATGACCCGAATGAAAGTCGTCTGATAATTTTCGATCCCGAGTCCAAAATAAATAATTTAATTGACACAGGTGCTGAAAAAATCATTAATAGCAAAGTTAGATCACCACCTACCAGTCTTAAATAAAACACTATATGATGCTAATGGAACTAAAATAAAAACATATGGAGAAATACTACTGACATTAACGTTAGGATTGAAAATAAAATTCAACTGGAAGTTCATCATAGCAGATGTTGATAGAGCCATAATTGGGGCAGATTTTTTGAAGAATTTTGGATTACCAGTTAATTTATCAAATGGAAAGTTGGTTGATAGTGAAATATTACTTGTTGATAAATGTTTCAGTTATAAAGCAATAAACAATAATTGCCCTTACCGCAGACTTTCAATTGATTTTCCTAATTTGACGAGTAAATGTCTAAATAAATCGAAAGAAAAAACCACCCACACACTTTAAAGTTCGCAGACTTAATCCCCAAAAACTGGATGCTGCTAAGACAGAATTTAAATATTTGATGGAACAGGAAATAATTCGGCCTTCTAAAAGCCCATGGGCCAGTCCTTTATACATGGGGCGATTACAGGTGATTGAATTCTCAAACTGTCCCAGATAGGTATCCCATACCAAATATCAAAGACTTCATCTTTCATTTGGAGGACAAACAGATTTCAAAAATTGACTTAGTCAAGACCTTTCACCAAATTCCGATGGCTCCAGAGGATATCGAGAAAACGACCATAATTACACCCTTTGGACTTTATGAATATCTCTTTATGCCGTTTGGGCTAAAAATGTAACGCAGACGTGTCAACGATATGTCCATCAAATAACAAAAGATTTTTATTTTTGCTTCCCCTGTTTGGACGACTTCTTAATTGCTTCAGTGGATAAAAATGAGCCTACATCTGAAACTTTTGTTTGAAAGATTACAAAATCATGGAATTACCATTAATGTGGATAACAGTTAATTTGGCAAGGAAGCTATAGAGTTTTTAGGATACTCAGTCACATAAGATGGAATAAAACCAACTGATAAAAAAATTCAAGGAATTATAGAATACAAAAAGCCAGAAGATATTAATGGACTGAGACGATTTCTTGATATGGTCAATTTTTAACGAACATCTATACCAAAATCGGCTGAAATTCAAGCACCCCTTAATGAATTTCTGAAAGGAAATCCAAAGAAAAATAAAAATCTCTGTTGGACCGTATAACATGAAAGAGGCAATAACTAGCGCAGCTTTATTAGTTCACCCATCGATGACTAGTCCATTAGCTTTGATGGTTGATGCTACAAATGAATCCATTGGAGCAGCAATTAATCAGTTCGAAGAAAATATTAAGCTAATTGCACACACACCGATTTTGGACGGCCGATTTTATACCGGTCATCCAAATTCCAATAGTGAACCACATGTGGCAACGGGACCTTGCACACACGTCGACCAGTGATCGTCGCCGGTAAAATACCGGTGAGCAGGCGTCCACTGCCACTGTATCGCCGGCAGTACCGGGAAGTAGTGGCGTACGTGACTAAATACACTCTTGCATACTCAACGATTTTCTACCGACCATTCCAGTCTTGACTGCTCGGTGAAATTGTAGTTACTATTTATTAACTTAGTTTTGGTAGTGCGTGCTAATTACGATTTCAATGGGTGACCGGTAAAAATCCGGCGAGTCTGCAAGCACCCGCTACCAATAACATATCGGCCGATTTTATACTAGCCGTCCAAAATCGGTTTGTGTGCAATTAGCCTTAGGAAACCTTTGGGATTCTTTTCTTAGAAACTCAAAAGGTCTGAGACCAAATACAGTACTTATGACTGGCTATTACTGGCTATTTATGAAGTTATCAAATAATTTGAATATATGTTAGAATGTCGGGAATTTGTCATTTTAACTGATCACAAACCAATCACTTTTGCCTTCGAAAAATAGCAAAACTTTGTCACCAAAACAAATTCGTTATTTAGGATATACGCCAGTTTTCAACAGATATTCGGTATATTTCTGAAAGTCAAAACATAGTGGAATATGGGAAAAATAACAAGCAAATGATGCCCAACTACAAGATTTGCTAGAAGGAAATACTTCATTAGTGTTGAAGAAAATGGAAATTCCTGGTACTAATTTCAACATAATTTGTGATATTTCAACCAATAATATCAGACCATATGTTCCTGAACCTTTCAGAAGAGAAATATTTGATAAGATTCACAATTTGTCACATCTAGGTATCAAAGCCTCGCTGATAACGTCGCCGAGACTGATGAAGAATAAATTTGTTTGGAAAAATATGAACAACAAATTAAAAAATGGGTTCAGTGTTGCATATCATGTCAGAAATCTAAAGTAACCAAACATATTGTGATACATTTGCGATACCTGAAGCCAGATTTGAACATGTAAATATTGATTTAGTTGGACCACTACCCTCATCTAATGGATTCTCTTACTGCCTCACCTGTATTGATAGATATTCAAGATGGGTTGAAGCTTTTCCAATTCGAGACATATCAGCAGAAACAGTTGCCAAAGCATTTTATGACGGCTGGATCACTCGTTTTGGTATTCCTTTCAGAGTAACAACAGATCAAGGAAGACAATTTGAAAGTGCACTTTTCAAGGAGTTTTCAAAGATCATGGGTTTTCAACATATACATACTACACCTTACCATCCAAGTTCAAATGGAATGATCGAAAGGTTTCAAAGATCAATGAAATCTGCATTAAAATGCCACCCTACTGAAAAATGATACGAATATATCCCCACTGTGCTATATAGTTTCTCCAAAAGAGGATTTAAATGGTTTAAGTAGTGCTGAAATATTGTATGGTTCTACGCTACGTGTTCTCGGAGACTTTAACCAATGGAAAAAAAAAGAAATTATCGCATATAGAATTTTTGAAAACTTTGAAAGAAACCATGAAAAACATAAAAATCAACGAACAGTCCAGTCATCACGGAGAGAAAAAAATGTTTGTACATGAATTGCGAAACAGATTGTGTTGAAAAACCATTGCAAACTTCTTATTCTGGCCCCTACAAGGTTTTAGAAAGAACCGAAAAATAGTTTACACTTTCAGTAAATGGAAAAAGAAACAATATTTCGATTGATAGGTTGAAGCCAGCTTTCATAGAATCATCAAATGAAAATTTTCCTGAAAATGCAAAATTTCCAAATACACTAAATGGAATTCTCAAGAGGAAATCAAAAAATCAAAATGAAAATCCTCAAAAATCTAATTATGTAACCCGCTTTGGAAGAAGAGTTCATTTCCGTGT